CAGTAGAGATGAGGTCTCGCTGCCCAGGCGGGTCTCGAAGCCGCGGGCTCAGGCAATCCACTCACCTCAGCCTCCCAAAGGCGCGGGATTACAGGCTGAGCCACCGAGCCTGGCCCCTTTCTCTATATTTTAATAATTAATTGAAAAAATGATTTTGGCCGGGCCCGGTGGCTCAGCCTGTAATCCCACACTTTGGGAGGCCGAGGTGAGTGAATTGCCTGAACCCGCGGGTTCGACACCCGCCTGGGCAACTTGGCAAGACCTCCTCTCTACAATAAACCAAAAAAATTAGCTGGGCGTGGTAGCACGCGCCTGTAGTTCCAGCTACTTGGAAGGCTGAGGCGGAAGGATCCCCAGAGCCCAGCAGGTCAAGGCTGCGGTGGCCGGGAGCGGCCACTGCACTCCAGTCTGGGTGACGGAGTGAGACTCCAACTCAAAAAAAAAAAGAAAAAATGATTTCAAATAGAATAATACAAATGATAAATTTTTAAATATTATGTTCAAATGAAAAACATAAGCATATATTTATGCCCAAATCTTCTGATCGAAAACCAAGGTCCTTGTTAGGTATGAATGACTTGATTGGCATCCCTCACTGTTCTTCTTGCATAAACTACACCGAAAATGTGTCATCTTTTATTTCTGATTTGGTTTCTTGAAAGTGGAATAAGAATTTAAAGACACATATAAGCAATATGAATTCAGAATCTTTATGAATCTTCCTAATTATTTTCCCAATCTTTTATAAGGACACATTTTATTAGTAAATGTCTTTTTAAAAGTATTCCTAAAACATTTTACCTATGTGAGAAATAACAAGTTTTGTATGCATTAAATTAGTCAGGCATTTACATTACAGTAAAATAAGTACAACAGACATAAACAGGTTTTGGAACAAACAGACTTAACCACTTGGTTAGTATATAACTCAACTGGTGAAAGAATAAATGCGAAAATATATTAGAAAATAGTCTGGCAGCCTTGGGTATAAGCATCACCAGTATGTGTCACTTACAAGCGACATCAGTTACTGTGGAGATTATTGAGAGGGTCAGTATTCAGGTCTCTCCTATCTGGTAGCTCTTCTGCCCCACATAGCCACACTGCTGTAGCCCTCCTGTTTTCACAGCCAAATCTATAGAGAATTGCTGGGTGCACTCCTTCCAGTTCTTTACCACCTTCTTATTCCTCAGTCATAGTAATCTGACTTACACCCCCACCGCTCCACTGACACTGCTCTTGCCAGAGTTATCGGTGGCATTTCTGTTGCTATATTCCATAGAGACTCTTTGGTCTTTCTCAACATCTATACATTCGGTACTGACGTGCACTGCCTCTCTTTTTCACTGTTTGCTTTACACAATTCCTAGAATCCATCTTGGCCTGGTTTTCCTTCTACTTCACCGATTATGCTGGAGTTAGAGCCTAGATGTTTGTCTCTTCTCACTCTGCAGACTCCTTTGGGTCAGTTCAGCCACCCCTGTAAGAGAAATTAACCACTTAGTAGTAATGAATTCTACTCAATGTACTGTAGCCACTTCAAACTCAGCATGTCCAAAATTGAGATTCTCTTTTTTTCTCTTTCTTGACTGTCTTGACTCTCTCACCTTCACTCCTTTATATCCACTCAGTACCAAGTCATATTGATTCTACCTCCTGAATACCTTTTACATCATTCCAATTCCCCCTTTTTCCTAGTTGCATATTCCTTAATCATATGCCCCAATTATAGTAACAGTTTTCCTTTGGAATGGTCTCTTTTACAAAACTTTGTACTTACTATGCTTTGAGCAATTTCTCTAAAATATAAATCTTTTCATATTTCTCACCTAATTAAAATCCTTCAGTGGCTCTCCCATTGCTTTCAGGATAAGGTTGGATGTTTCAACGATTTCCAGGGTGATCTTCATTTGCTAGTCCCTACTTACCTTTTCAGCCATCTCTCTCTCTCTCTCTCTCTCTCTCTCTCTCTCCTCTCTCTCTCTCTGACTAAAACCCTTCAATGGCTCTCCCAATCTTCAGAATAACTTTGGACATTTTAATGATTTTCACACTCTTAACCACTATGCTAAACTTAATTTCTATTATCTTTTTTTGTTTGTTTGTTTGTTTGTTTGTGTTGGAGTCTCACTCCTTCGCCCAGGCTGGAGTGCAGTGGCATGCACGCTCACCACCACCCCAACTTCGACCTGCTGGGCTTCAGCGATCCTTCCACCTCGGCTTCCAAGTAGTCAGAACTACAGACACATGCTACCATACCCGGCTGTTTTTTATTTTATTGTAGAAATGAGGTCTCGCCAGGTTGCCTGAGCTGGTCTCAAATCCGCGGGCTCAGGCAATCCACTCGCCTCGGCCTTCCAAAGTGCTGGGATTACAGGCTAAGCCACCAAGCCTGGCCGGTTTCCATTATTTATGGGACCCCAAAACAACCTTATTAGGTAGGCAGGGCATTAATTTATTCTCTTTTAGCAGATAAAGCAGTTGAGCCTCAGAGAGGCTAAGTGACTCTGAGGTCATTTAAGATCATTCACTCAACAAATATTTATAAGCACCTTGGACAAGTAACTTAACTTCTCTGTGTTTTAGTTTTCTTGTCAGTAAAATGAGAATATCTACACTATGTAACTAACGTCTGGTGGAGGACTGAGTGAGTTACTACACTGAGAGTATTTTGAATGGTGCCTAAACACAATAAATATGAGCTATTAAATATAACATTTTTTATTTATAAGCTCTAAGACTATATATATATCTGTATCTATAAATATAAATATACACAGAGAGACAGACATGGCATTAATATTATTAATTTCAATATTGTAAAGGGACTGAAAGATTGGGATTATTATTTTTAATATTTTCTTTTTTCTTTTTTTTTAGGATAATGCCATAGCTATGCCAGAGTTTATTTTCCAAGTTTTAAATTCAAATTATCACTCTTGATTTACATGCAATTTTGGTTTTAAAAAAGTCAATGTTCAGTATAAAAAAGAGAGTTTTTTAAATGTTTCCTTGCTAAATCTGCAGTCTTTTGAGTCTATGTACATAGCAGGTAGAAGTTAGTTAGCACAGGAAGAATATTTTTTAATTCTTTTAAAAAAAAAATTTTCAGCTGGGCATGATAGCTCACTCCTGTAATCCCAGCATTTTGGGAGGCTGAGGTGAGGGGATTGCCTTAGCCCCCGGGTTCAAGAACAGCCTGGGCAATTTGGCGAGACCTTGTCTCTACAATAAATCAAAAATTAGCTGGGCGTGGAAGTGCGTGCCTGTAATTCAGACTACTTGGAAGGCTGAGGTGGAAGGATTGCCAGAGCCCAGCAGGTCAACGTTGGGCTGACCGTGAGTGTACCACTGCACTGAAGCCTGGGGGATGGAGTGAGACTCCAACTAAAAAAAAAAAAAAAATTTTTTTTCCAACATACTGCTGCTGTCTTGAGACACTAAAAATATTAAAATAGAAAAGTGACTAATTTAATTTATAAAGTAAAATTGTTATGTCTTAATACCTAACTTTATTTTTGTATATGATTTAATTGCATAAATAATTCAGTTTTGATTAGTATGAATGCCATTAAAACTACAGTTGTGCAAGAAAATTGAAAATATGAGGACATTTAGTTTTATGCATATGTTCGCGTGAGAGAATTTGCTCAGTTTTTTAAAAGCTTTTTGTAACTTAAAATTTAATTTTATAATACACATTTGTATGTTGACTTTGTACCAACAGAAATTCCTGATTTGTGTTCTTTTTCTGATTCTTTTTAGAGTTGGTGGTTCCAGGATTTTCCTCAGAATGACATTAGGAAGAGAATTGATGTCTCCTCTTCAGGCAATGTCTTTGTATACTACAGCTGGCAGAAATGTTTTAAGATGGGATCTTTCACCGGAGCAAATTAAAACAAGAACTGAGGAGCTCATTGTGCAGACCAAACAGGTGTATGATGCTGTTGGAATGCTCGATATTGAGGAAGTCACTTATGAGAATTGTCTGCAGCCACTGGCAAATGTAGAAGTAAAGTATATAGGTGGGTAGGGTGTTAAAGCACATCAGTATTTCATGTTGTGGACATCTTAAATCATTTTATGCTTTCTGTCAGTTTTCCAGTTTTACAAGACATTAATTTGTACATAATAGTTAATTAATTGCTTAGAATTCAGTTACCTAAGATTTAAAATTTTTATTATGTTGGCAGTGCTGTAAAATATGTACTCTCACTCATAACACTGCCTTCTGGAGAGCATTTTGACAATATGTGTCAAACCTTTCAAGAAGTTCATACCATTACTTCTTGGCCTTTTGGCTGAGATCAGGTGAAGAAGTTCATACCATAGCATAGTAATTCCACATCTATGCATTTATTCTAAGGAAATAATCAGATACAGGCAAAATTCGTGTATCAGTTTATGTATAAATGAATACTGTTATCAACAACCCCCGAATGTCAACGAATATAATGACTAAATAATCAAACATCTATCCTCTATAACACTATGTAACCATTAAAATCATGGTTTAGAAGCAGTATTTAATGACACAGGGGAAAGGGGCACAGAGAGAAAACCGGAAGAAAAGAAATTTTATTAACAATTATGTTAATCAGGATTCTCCAGAGAAACAGAACCAATAGGATATCTGTGTGTGTTTAAGTATGTATTGATGTACATATGTGGAGAGAGAGACAGATACTGATTGACCGATTATAGGGAATTGACTCACGTCATCGTGGAAACTGGCAAGTCCCAAATCTGCGGCGTGGGCTGGCAGGCTCAGGTCCCAGAGGCTGATGTTCTAGTTCCAGTCTCCTGGAGACCCCGGAGAGTCCGAGGTGCAGACGAAGCCCAAAGGCAGTCTGCTAGACTTTCTGCTCTTTTTGGGGCCTCACTGATTAGATGTGGCCCGCCCACATTACAGAAGGCAATCTGCTTTACTTCAAGTTCACCAAGTTCAATGTTAATCTTACCAAAAAAACACCCTCCAAGTTAATCCATAAAATTAACCATCACAATGATTAATATCTTGTGTGATGGATGGGTTTGCAGTTGATTTTTACTTTCCTCTTTATGTATTTCTCTATTTTCCATATTTCCTACACTGAACAGATATAATTTTTATTATGCATTATACCCTTTCATTTATAAGGAATGAGGTTTCACTTTGATTACCTCTAAGGGTTGGACATATTTCATAGGATAATTATGACTAAAAAACCTTGACTGTGTATCCAGGCTTCATAAGAGAGCATAAAATAGCTGCAGAACTGGAGATCATGACCCTTAGGTGCATTTTGGAATTTGCCAGAATAAAGCACAGCCTGAGTAACCTGGTCATCTCTTTGCTCCTACTAGCCCTCATCACCAAGCATTCCCTGTTATTTATTTCCCTATAAAAAGAGTTTGGCTCTCTGCTCTTGTCTGAGCATTTGTTTCAGTGTCTGCTCCTGTTCTCAGTTGTTTCACTCTCACTGGTGACCACTAAATCTTGTTCCAGGTCTTGAGTTTAAACTCAGTATCATTAGTCAAAGTCAAAGGGATAGAATTGGTCCCTATTCAGCAGAACTTTTTCAGTAGGTAGTTTCCTATGCATGCTACCCTGTTTGTGGTTTGTCCTTGTTCAGGTGTTCACTTCTTTACCAGTCATTATGGCCAAGATCTGGCTAATATAAAAACCAGTGGAGAAATACAAACACAATTTTTTTAAATGAATTAATTTGGCCAGATGTGGTAGCTCAAACCTGTTATCCCAGCATTCTGGGAGGCTGAGGCAGGAGGATTGCTTAAGGCCAGGAGTTCAAGACCAGCCAGGGTAACATAGTGAGACCTTGTCTCTACAAATGAAAAATTTTAAAAAAAAGAATTATTTTAAATTGTTTTTTCTTCACTAAGGGATCTTTTAAACATAATTTCATGTTTGTGACATTTCTCTTGTTCTTTCATAAATTTATTTTGGCAAGTTAATCATCAAAATTTTTGAATTTGGAAATAGATTTCTTAAAAACTATCTTTCTCTTATCTCAGAGTTTAGTATGCCTCCCCTAACAGCTGTTAAAACCTCATTTGTCTAGTGTCAGGTCCTGGGCATCAGCATTGTTTATAGTTTGGCAGTGAGAGCATGAGTCTGGTTCCAGCTCTTTGTGGCAGAGTAAGAAAGGAAATGGTTTTCTTCCTTATTGTTTGTTTAATAATATGTTTCCAGTTTTAGGCTCCTGCATTTTATGTTGCGTTTATAAGTTCTCGAGCAATTTGGACTCCCCCCTAAATCTTTTAGAATTAATTTTAAAAAGTAAACAAATTTGCGAGTACATAGTTAACTATATCACTTAAATAAATGCTGTATTAAATTTTATTCTTCTATTCTACTGTCTCCTTAACTAATGGACATAAAATTATATACTAAATCAAATCCTAAAGCATAATTATGTAATTTTATCTTTAAAAAATATACCTCAGCAGGCACATACCTATTGTCCCAGCTACTTGGGAGGCCGAGGCAAGAAGATCATTTGAGGCCAGAAGTTAAAGTCTGCAGCGCTATGTTCATGCCACTGCACTCTAGCCTTGGCAACAGAGCAAGACCCTGTCTCAATCAGTCAGTACAGACATACATACATATATACCTTATGGATTTATTCTATTTGTGGCAGATATTTTTTAACAGCTTTATTCGTAACAGTGTTTTAAGAGACTTATATAAGTAAGGCAGCTTCTCCCCCACCCCACACTGTTTTTTTATTTTTATTTTTATTTATTTATTTATTTTTGAGTCGGAGTCTCACTCTGTCGCCCAGACTGGAGTGCAGTGACCGCTCCCGGCCATCGCAGTCTCAACCTGCTGGGCTCCGGCGATCCTTCCGCCTCAGCCTTCCGAGTAGCCGGAATTACAGGCATGCGCTACCACGCCCGGCTGATTTTTTGATTTATTGTAGAGATGAGGTCTCGCTGCCCAGGCGGGTCTCGAACCCGCGGGCTCAGGCAATCCACTCACCTCAGCCTCCCAAAGGCACGGGATTACAGGCTGAGCCACCAAGCCTGGCCTTTTTATTTTTATTTTAAAGATGTGGGGTACAATTCAGGGTTAGGTATATTAATGTTCATTATGCAGGTACCCTTGTTGATGAGATGTGCCCCTTCCTCCCCTGGCAGTTTCCCTCAACTGCCAATTCTATCTCCCCTTCCCTGTCAGTTTCCCACTACTGTCAATCCCTTTCTTATAGTATTATGATAACTGTTCCAAGGTCTGCTTATGAGTGAGAACATATGGTACTCTATTATTTGTTTCTGTGATAGATCACTGAGTATGATAGACTCTAAATCCATCCAAGTTGTCCTTCTTTATGGCTGCATAATATTCCATTGTGTACATATACCACATTTTTTTATGCAGTCCGTTTTCAATGGGCAGCATGGTTGATTTTGTGTTTTTGCTATTGTGAGTAGAGCTGCAACAAACATGCACGTGTGCAGGTATCTTTTTTGTAGAATGATTTGGGTTCCTCTAGATATATTCCCAATAGGAGGATTGCTGGGTCATGTGGAAGGTCAATTTCTAGTTCTTTCAGAAATCGCCACACTGTCTTCCAAAAAGATTGCACTAGTTTGCATTCCCACCAGCAGTGTAGAAGCGTTCCTTTTTCTCCACATCTTCGCCAGCATTTGTTGTTTGTTTTATTAATGATGGCCATTCTTACTGGGGTTAGTTGGTATCTCAGTGTGGTTTTGATTTGCATTTCTCTGATGATTAGTGAGACTGAACACTTTTTCATGTGTCTGTTGACTGCCCATATATCTTCTTTTGAGAAGTATCTATTCATGTCTTTTGCCCACTTTTTAATGGGGCTGTTTGTTTTTTTCCTTTGGTGCATTTGAGTTCCTTGTAGACCCTAGATGTTAGGCCTTTGTCAGATATACATTTGGCAAATATTTTTTCCCATTCTGTGGGCTGTCTCCCCTCTCTCTTGATGGTTACTTTGGCTTTGCAGAAGCCTGTCAGTTTGATGAGATCCCACTTGTCTATCTTATTTCTTATGATATGGCCACTTACGGTTTTGATCAAGAATTGGTTGCCAGTTCCAATTTCCATAAGGGTGTCTCCTGCATTTTCTAAGATTCTTATAGTTTGAGGTTTTACATTTAGGTCTTTGATCCATTTAGAGTTAACTTTTGTGTATGGTATAGGTAGGGGTTCTGTTTCAATCTTCTGAATGTGATCAGCCTGTTTTCCCACCACCATTTACTGAATAGGTTCTCCTCTCCCCAGTGGTTGTTGTTGGAGGCTTTGTCAAAGAAGAGCTGATAGAGAAATTGAGGCTTTGCTTCCAGAATCTCTATCCTGTTCCATTGGTCTTTATGCCTGTTCTTGTACCAATACAAGGCTGCTTTGATTATTGTAGGCTTATAGTAAAGTTTGAAGTCTGGAAGTGTGATACCTCCTGCTTTGTTTCTTTGAGGCAGCTTTTTAACTGTACAAACTCTTGGTGTGTAAAGGATAGCTCTATTGTCTACTATATATCACATATGTAAATTTTACCTATTTATAATACCTCTAAAATACTAAAGATAATAAAACAAAAATGCATTTATTGTCATAGTGTGGCTGCAATCATCACTATAAACCATCCTTATGTTTTTTCTATAGTTATCAGTATTTCACTAACATCAGAGATTTTTGCCCAAAGTAAAAATACAAATGTATGAAAAATCCAGGAACCAACTTTAATATATGAATATTAGGGTAGACTAAATTATCATCATCATTTAACAGGAATATCCCCCAATATCTAGGGTTTACTGGATGTGACCACTTAGATTTCTGGGAATCCTCTGAAATGATATGAAATTTTTTTGTTTATATGCATATGTGCATTTGGGGTAGGGTCCATACCTTGATTAGATTCTCTGTGAAGTCTATAGTTTTAAAAGGGGTTAAAAAGTTCTATTCTAAACAAGCCCCTTCTGCTAAATTGGTCTGCTTGTTCCTAGGACATCCTTTGTCTCTGCTGGTTCCCATGCCTGCAATCTCTCCTTTTCCAAACCCTTCCTGAGTTCTTTCCTCATCCTCCTATGTTCAACCTTCTGCACACCTAGATGCAGCCTCTATCTTGTTCATTTGACAATGAACATGCTCTCCTGTATTGTTCATCTTTCTATGACCCAGATCATAAAATGCCTCTGTATAGGAATGATGTCTTTATCTTCCTGCATTTCCAGTTAATAAATTACACTCTCAGTGTATTTTGATAAGTGCTCAGTGCACATTCTTATTTTTTCCTAATGATGCCAGCTGGAACAGCCCTGTCCTGAACGAGATGCTTTTTCTTGGTGGCCCTAAGGACCTTTACAGAGAGTAAAACTTATATTGGCATAATCATTTGTCTAGGGAGGAGGTGTTAGACTTAACGCTGATTTGACATGTCCTATAGTATTAATAGTTTTTTCTCTATCAACAGTGGAAAGAACCATGCTAGACTTTCCTCAGCATGTATCCTCTGACAAAGAAGTACGAACTGCAAGTACAGAAGCAGACAAAAGACTTTCTCGTTTTGATATTGAGATGAGCATGAGAGCAGATATATTTCAGAGAATTGTTCGTTTACAGGTAAATAGTGTTATAAGTCTCTTTATGGGGGGATAAAACCCTACAACAGAAAAGAAAGAACTTTTGACTGTTGATAAAAAGTAGTTTGTTTCCAATAATTATAGCACATACAGTAATGGGCATCATATAGTATTATATAATATTAGATTTGTGTTGAATTGTTCATTCTATTTACTTACAATTAAAAACCAAATGTAGTGAAAATCTGTAAAGAGTGAACATCTGTAAATCTAAGGCTTTTTAACATCAAAAACCTGATGATTAAATGTCAGGTTTTTATTAAGCCAAATCAGTTAGAAGTAATAGAATTAAGTTGTTTATCTGTAAATACCTTGTGGCTTTGACCATAATATTGATGACATACTGTTGATGCTGTATGCCAGAGTCATTTCTGTCTGTCATCCTTACGTTTTTCAGGACTCACAGACATTATGGATAATGAATGTTCTAGGTGGGTCTGTCTTGAGTGTTTTTGATCTTTCCATCACCAGTGTTGATTTGCCTCCTAGCAGTTTCATCATGTCTTTGCTTTCAGTTTTTACTTTCAGCAATTTGTTTGGAAAACAACTGATATTTTACAATCCTAGACAACTTTTGTTTAATTTTGCATGTTTCTTTCTGCAAAATCTCAAAAAATGTTTCTTCCTTTTTTGCAAATTATGACGAGAGTTGAAATAAAATATTTAAAATTAAACCACTTTTTCATTTGTAATTCATCATAGAATATATAATCAAGACTTTATTTAGACATGTAAAATGTACATGCTGTTTATTTTCTTGTGTCAGACAAGCATTTTCACCCTATAATTGATAATTATCTTTATGGTTCATAATAGTTCATCTTTTGCACCATAAAAATGAAATGAAAAGTAACTTCACAATTGTTCACTAAATTGTCCTCTTTACTCTTTTGAGCACAGTTATTCTATGTGGTTTGAATCATGGCCTTTATGGTCTCCTGCTTTTATTTCATCCAAAAAAAAAATCTGATTTTCTTTCTAGCTCTATATTTTTAATACATTTTAATTTTTTTTCTAGAATTTCTTTTTTTTTTTTTTTTTTGAGTTGGAGTCTCACTCTGTCGCCCAGACTGGAGTGCAGTGGCCGCTCCCGGCCACCGCAGCCTCGACCTGCTGGGCTCCGGCGATCCTTCCGCCTCAGCCTTCCGAGTAGCCAGAATTATAGGCATGCGCTACCACGTCCGGCTGATTTTTTTATTTATTGTAGAGATGAGGTCTCGCCTGCCCAGGCGGGTCTCGAACCCACGGGCTCAGGCAATCCACTCACCTCAGCTTCCCAAAGGCGCAGGATTACAGGCTGAGCCGCTGAGCCCGGCTTTTTCTAGAATTTCTAATTTCCTTTGGTCAATCCTGTTTTCATTATGATTTCTAAGTTCTCATTTGAAATAATATTTTTGTTACTATTTCACCTTCTCTGATTCTTATGAATGTTATCAGGATATGGAGTCTGTCACTTTAGATTTACTTGACATTCAGTACTTTTAAATTCTATATGTTTTGGGTACTGATTTCACTAAATTTAGGAACAAATTGCTGCCTGTGGAGTACACTAGCAAACCATAGTGACCTGACAGTCACCAATGCATTTATCAGATTTATGTATTTATTTGAGCTGATTCATTTCAGGGCTATAACAATTTAATGTAGTTTCAGATATGGTTCCATAATTTTTCCTCTTTCCAATGGAGTAATTACTTTCATACATATTAATCAATGTGTCAACATTTTTAGGAACTTCTACAGTGTCTCTTAAAGCTACATCCGAATCTTTAAAAAACTATTGTGAATTTTTGGGGGGGTTTTGCCTTGACTCATTAGGTGAATTTCATCACCTTTAAATACCTTCTCTGACAAATGGTTATGTTTATTTAGGCAAAAAAATTTTTTTGAGTCAAAGTCCCATTCTGTTGCCCACTTTGGAGTGCAGTGGCACCATCATGCTCACTGTAGCCTCCATATCCTGGGCTGAAGTGATCCTCCCTCCTTAGCCTCCCAAGTAGCTAGAAATACAGGCATATGCCAACATGTCCAGGTAATTTTTTTTTATTTTTTGTAGAGATGAGGTCTCACTGTGTTGCCCACACTGCTCTTGAACTCCTGTGTGCAAACAACCTTTCCACCTTAGCCTCCCAAAGTGCTGGGATTTGAGGCATGAGCCACTGCACACAGCCATGTCAATATTTTTTCTTAAATCTAGAATTGTCAGTATCAGTTTTCTGCTAGAGTTGGACATTTTAGTGGTAAACCTCATCTCATTTATAACTAAAGGACAAAATAGATGTAATCCAAATATTTTATTTATTTTCTCTATAATGCTGGAAGTGAAACAGGACAACCATGATGTAACAAATAATGCCTTCATTAATCTAGATAAATGAGATCTTTTTTTTTTTTTTTTTTTTGAGTTGGGGTCTCACTCTGTCACCCAGGCTGGAGTGGTATGATCCTGGCTTACCACCACCTTGACCTCCTGGGCTCAAGCAATCCTTCTGCCTCAGCCTCCTGAGTACCTGGGACTGCAGGCTTGTGCCACCACACCTGGCTAATTTTTGTATTTTTTTTTGTAGAGATGAGATCCCACACCTGGCTAATTTTTGTATTTTTTTTTTTTTGTAGAGATGAGATCTCACAATGTTGCCCAGGCTGATCTCAAACTTCTGGACTCAAGGGTGTCTCCCACCTTGGCCTCCCACAGTGCTGGAATTACTGGCATGAGCCACCATGCCCAGCTAGGATCTTAAATCAATATGAAGTCAGCAGTTCCAAAACATGCTCTATTAAAATGAGAATACTCTGAATAATAGTGGGTTCCCAAGATACCACCAGTGTAGACAGTAATCAAATATAATATTATCCAAATTGGATATATAATGTTATTTTAACTCTTGCATCATTTTTTACTTAAAATTAATAAGCAGGAATGTAAAAATTATCTTACTTTTTCGAGTTCTTTGTGTAAATCAGTGCTCAGTAATACTGGGTTCCAGTTTTCTACTGATGTATATAATATATTACCCCAAAAGTTGGTAGCCAGAAACAGCAAAATTTATTTTGTCTCACAGTTTCTGTGAGTTTAGAATTCAGGAAGGAATCAACGGACATTTCTGACGTGGAGTCTCACGTGAAGTGTCAGGCAGTTGTGGCTGGGTTTGAAGCAGGTAGGAGCTAATCAGGTATCTCCCTTAGCCTCAGGGTGTCTTAGTCAGATTGCACTGTCATGACAAAACACAACATACTGAGTGTCTTAAACAACAGAAATTAACATTTTCACAGTTCTGGAGACTGGAAGTTGGAGGTCAGAGTGCCAGCATGGCTGGGTTCTGGTGAGAGTTCTCTTCCTGGCTTGCAAATGCACGTGGCATTTCCTCAGTGCGGGCACATTAGGGGTGAAGAGGATCACTCTTCTTGTCTTTCTATAAGGCCCACAATCCTATTAGATTAGGACTCCATCCTTCTGACCTCATTTAACCTTAATTACCTTCCAAAAACATTTCTGAATACAGTCACACTGGGGTTAGGGCTTCAGCCAAAGAACTTTGAGAGTACACAATTCAGTCCACGGCACGGGGCATCTCCATGCAGTCGCTTTGTGTAGGTTAACTGGGTTCCTTGCAGCATGGGAGTAGCCGGGCAGGAGGGCTTCTTCCATGAGACTCAGGGGAACGCAACTCCTCCCACACTGTATTGGTTGACCAATCGCTACACTCTGCCCAAATTCAAGGGACACCACATCTCAGTCTAGGGAGTATTAATTCATTTGCAGTCCTGTTTCAAAACCTCCAAAATAAATACTTTGTTGACTAAACGGAGGGAAGAAATTATAGTACAGCATAAGACTAACCAGTGTGATGTGGTCTTCCTGCCTCCTTCCCAATGTACGATTAGCAACACTACTTTACATTTGTATAGCATCAGAGCTATCTAATTTAATCTTTATGCAATCTTGTGAGGTAGCCCTTTTTATGAGTGGAGAAACTGAAGCCTAGAAATGGTAACTTTCCAAGAGTTCTGTGGTTGGTAAGTGCTCGCCAGAAATCACATAGACTCTATGTTAAACCCCTCAAGGGAAGGAGGTTCATGTTTGATTCTATTTTGCACCTCTGGCAGAGTGCCTGGTAAAAAATAAGCATTCACTAAATGTTCATCAAATCAAAGTAAGAAACCAGTTACTGGCACGTCCAGAAAATAGGCCTTCAGTAATTGCTGGGACATTAGTTAACCGTGTGGGGAAAAAAAATAAAATTAATTCCTTCCTCACAACCAGCTGAAAAACAATTCCTAATGGAGTAAAGTCTTAAATTAAAAGGCAAAAACTTAAAACTTCTAGAAGGTACATAGGAAGATATCTTCATGACATCTGGTTAGGGATATATTTCTTGAATACGACACCAAAAAACTACGAAATATAAAGCTAATAAACTTGACTACATTAAAATAAAGAACTACTAGTCATAAGAAAAGTGAAAAGACAAGTTGAATACTACGAAAAGAAACTTATAAAACATTAAACTAGCAAAACATTCTAGATATGTAAAGAACTACTACATTCAATAACAAAGAAACATTCCAATAAAAAACAACATAAGATATTTCAGAAGAAACACAATTACCAATTAAATGGATGAAAAGATTCAACTTCATTAGTAATCAGAGAAATGTAAATGAAGACCACACTAAGTTACCATTTTTCACTCATAAGATTGGCAAAAATTAAGAAATCTGACAATGCCAAGTATCTTTGTGGATTTGGATCAGTGAGAATGTTTGTGCACTGCTAATAAGAGTGTAATTGATTAAAAATAATAACTAAGTTGGGGGAAAACTTGGTATTATAAAGTTCGATTTTACATTCTCTACAGTCTGGCATATCCTCCCCACCCTCACCTTGGTATTCATCTAGAGTTCCTTTTGCATTTGTGCAAGGTAAAATTGGACAAATGTTCATAGCAATACTATAATAGCAAAACACTGAAATAGCCC